AGAACGTGGTGACCTCCCCTGGGGAGCTGCAGGAGGCATGTATGCAAAGACCCAATGGGGAGAGGCAGCGGAAGCCCAGGAATCTTATGAGGTGGCTCCCAGTGCAGGGAAGGCAGATGGTGCTGCGGTCATGCGGGCCGAGTTCCAATCCCAGCCCTACCTTAACTTTGCAAATGTGAGGAGGTGACTCAAAGCTTTTCCCAGGGGTTCCCTCACCTCGAGGAGAAGGCAGCATGAAGCATTTCTCATAATGTGTGCATTCAATGACCGAACACAGGTGTGGGTCGGTCACAGGTAGGGAGTATGTGCTGGGTCCAGGCCCTGCTCAGGTGTCGGATCCAACGATAAACAAGAACGGAAGAGGCCTTGCCCAACAAAGAACTCACACTCCCTGCGGGAAGCCGAAAATACGCTCGTAAACAAAGAAAATAATTTCCTGGCATGAGGTGCTCATGCAGGAGGGAAAACACCCAGGAAAGTGGTGTTGATAACAATGAAAGCAGCTCGCCGAAACAGGTTTGGCTCAGTGGATAGAGCGTCGTCGTAGTCGGCCTGCGGACTGAAAGGTCCCAGGTTCGATTCCGGTTAAGGGCAGGTACCTTGGTTGCAAACACATCCCGGGTGTGTGTGTGTGTGTGTGTGTGTGTGTGTGTGTGTGTCTGTGCGTGCGCGCAGAAGGCAGCTGATCGATGACTCTCTCTCATCAATGTTTCTAACTCTCTAGCCTTCTCTCTTCCACTCCGTAAAAAATCAATAAATATATATATATATATATATATATATATATATATATATATATTAAAAAATAATAATAATACAATGAAAGCAGCTCAAGAATCTGAGCCATCAACTGCAGACCTAAATGAGGTCTCCCTGTGCTCTCCCGACCTCCCCAACTCAGAAGTCCGTAATTTACCCTCAGGCAGCTGGAAGCTATAAAAGCATCAGAGTAAAGTGCTAACAAGACACAACTACAAAAAAGGCACAGTGACTGCTTCCTGAGATGGCCATGGTTGACCGCTGAGTCTTTCCTGCCACAATTAGCATGGTGGTACCATTTTCCACCCGCCTCCACCTCTCACTGCCTCCACCTCTCACGCCTGCTCCCTCCTCAACAAGGACTAGGGGTCTCCTGGGCACCGATGAGCATCTTTCCCAGCCATTCTCACCCCGGCTACTCAAGAGAAGCAAGATGGCTTGGTTTTATTTCCTCGGCTCTTCTTGGCTCTTCCGAGAGTGATCTTGCTAATGAAAACACACACACTGAATAAACACTCGGGGAAGAAACCATCTGCTTATCCTAAAAACGTCAGGAGAAAGCGTGTTTGTTTACCGGCAGGGTCATGAGGACAGGACACACAAAACCTTCTCAGGGACCTTCAGGGGTGAGGATACTGGTGGGGGGAGTGGAAGGGGCGCCATTAACCCTTTCAGACCCTCAAGAGTCCGTTGGTTTTATAACCTCTGGCTGGAAGAGGAAGCTGCGTATGTCGTAAACCACAGGGTGAGGCTTATTTGCACAGCTTTTTCCACATAAAGATGATATAATGCTGAGAAAGAACCGACTCTCTATAGGTCTTGTTTTCGACCTTTCAACTCTGCAGAAGGAAATACCTAAAAAGACTGCCCACGTTCAAGAGCTGAGGCAGTGGTAAAACTAGCTACGGAGCGGAAAGTCTGACGCTCACAGCCGAGGCCTCTGAAAAGGTTAAACTCTTAAATAATTTTTAAAGGCTATAAATAGCCAGGGAGGCAATCTTGGAGAGTATTGGTTATCTGCGCCAGGAAATATTTAGGGAATTTGCATTTACAATGACTACTTTGCCCATATTCATGGTGTACAATAAATGTCACAGGAAAAGGCCCAGGAAATTCAATCCCCAAGGAGAAAAAAAATGGTTCAGAGAAGAATGTTCCCAAAGGGACACTGCAATGACTTCTGGCCATGTGCCCTGCTCATCTGTGTGGCAAATGTGAGTGAGCAAAAAGAATTCATCCTCTCGGGGCACCCAATCAGAGGAGGGTCACATGTGGGCCACGGGAACACTTCCAGGGCCACTGAGCCTTGATGAATTCACAGCATCCAGTTTTGGAGCAAAATTTTTAAAGCAGTTACGGGGAGCTTGTGGGGTCTCTTGCAATCCTATGTCACCCTCCTCCATCTCGAGCACAGGGGCTGCGTCACCGAGGCAGCCTGCTGCCTTCCAGCTGGCTGTTCCAGTTCTTCAAGAGCATAAGGTAGCAATTGAGAATCAGCTTAGTCAATAAAAATGCTGATATCCGCCTTTCTGCAGGCACTTGTAGAAAACATCTGTTGCCCGCTAGTTGAGAAGGAACATTCTAACCAAACTAGAAAAATAAGAACAAGATATGAATGGGTGCCGAAACCGGTTTGGCTCAGTGGCTAGAGCGTCAGCCTGCGGACTGAAAGGTCCTGGGTTCGATTCTGGTCAAGGGCATGTACCTTGGTTGCGGGCATATCCCCAATGGGGGGCGTGCAAGAGGCAGCTGACCGACAACTCTCTCTCATCGATGTTTCTAACTCTCTATCCCTCTCTCTTCCTCTCTGTAAAAAGTCAATAAAATATATATTTTTTAAAAAAGATATGAATGGGTGAGGCATGTGAAAAATAAACAATTAATTCTACTTGTGAAATAAACTCATTCCGACCGTCAGTCAGCAAACACTTAGTGAACACCTACTACAAAGCAGATGCTACGCTGGGTGCCACAGATGAGATAAGGTCCCTGCCAAGAAGCCAGCAGTGAGGTGGCAAACGGACATTGATGCCACCAATCATTCTTGTATTAGGCTAACAGGATGTGCCAAGAGTCATTCCAAACACTTCAGTTGCATCAACTCCTTTTATTCTCAGACAATAAGGTAGGGTTTATAATTAGCCTTATTTTATGGGTGAAAAGTCGAGATACAAAGAGGTTAAGTGCCTGTTCAAGGTGATCAATAGGTTAGTAGGAGAAGCTGGGATTTGAACCCAGGCAGTCAGGCTCCACCCTAATAGGTGGATGAGCAAACAGGTCTGAAGGAGTGAAGAAAAAGCTCCAGCCCCCACCTCAAGGAGCTGGCATCTGGGTAAAACTGACAGGGCCTTTGCGGGTGCATAGGAGTTTGTGGGTGAAGGGTTGCAGGGTGAAAAAGTTTCCCTCCAGGCAGAGGAGTTACAAATACAAAGCACAGACACCAGAAATTGTCAAGTTATGTAGTTTTAAAAGGTGAAAACATATTTCTATTCCTATTTCTCAGAGAGCTCCTACAGAATTCCTAAACAGTAGGTAGCTAAGAGTCTTGACATTCTTCGGTGTAGGGAACTGAAGAGCTGCAATTGAATACAGTATAATGCCTCCTGTAGTGTGTGCACACAGCAGCAGCATTTGATCGCTCCCGGGTCCAAACCACATACAGGAACACCATTTAATAGAATGTGATGCTACAGACTTGGGCCCAGAAGTCTTAACAGAACCAAACAGGAAATACTGAAACTAAATCCTCACCAAACCAGTCTGGCGATGCAGAGAAAAAGTTGCAAGGGGGAGGGGCAGCGAGGGGGTAAGCGGGGGGGGGGGGGGGGGGGGGGGGGGGTGAAGAAGCAGGGGCAGGCCGCACGTTCTAAAAGGCCTAATTCTAACAGGCTAGCAGGTGCGCTCCTCAATTCAGTTTTATAATTTCAGCAGATTAGCAACAGGTTTGTTCACCAAAATACGAAGCTGCTCCCAAGGCCTTGCTAGATATGAATTTCAAAACGAGAACATCAGAAAGACACAAAGGTTGTCTGCGATGTGCAATAACTTGGTGGTTTTACCCATAGCTATTCTGAGGCTCATCTTTCCCTGAGACGATGAGAATTCACACGCTCTGGAGAATATTCTTTGAAATAGATATAATTTAGTGAATCATGTCACGCAGATGATTAAATGATGGGTTACTGACGTGGATGCCAAACTTAAATTTCAGCCGCTCTAACCAACAGGAATAATAGATGGATCAGCTCCACTCTAAAAACAGGTTATGTTCCCAAAGTGTGTTTATAAGTTGGCTGTTTGGAATTCGAGAGCTACTTTCTTCCCCCAGCGATGTTGTGCTTAGTCCCCGAGAGAGAACATGGGAACAGAAATCCAAAGTGTGCTGAGAATTCCATGGACTCAGACCCACAAAAGGGATAATGGTTCTCGAGGAAAGTGCAGTCCTGGAGATGTGGCCACACACACCGAGCTCTCCGAGCCTGGGAGCAAGAAGGCCTCCATCGGTACATGGCTGGCAGGTCCCTCACCGCCAGCAGGAGCTCCATGTATGGAGGAGGCCGGAGAAGGCTGAGGGGGGCAGGGGGCGATGAGGCAGGGACTCCGAGGAAAACCGTGGAAGAGACCAAGGCTGGCGGTTCTTCTGCACCGCCCAGCACCTCAGCTCTGCCCGAGACACCGGCTCTTCCATTCCAGAGCTGCCACACGGAGGGCGCGGGTCAGGGTTTCTCTGCATCCCACCCCCACCCACAAACATGGGCGTCAACTTCTCTTCTGAACGAGAACACTCGTGCAGGGCTCTGACCATCCTCTTAGGATTTTTCTCACCAGCACCTTAGAGCAGTGGCACGCGCACGCGCACACGCACAGAGAAAGTGCCTGTGATAAGCAAATTAAACCGAGATCCAGCCACAAGACCACCAGTTCTCTCCAATTCAAACAGATATAATACGTATGCGTATACATGCACATATATGTATTTGTATCTGGAAAGTCAGTAAAATTCAAGTGACGTGCCCACTGACATCACTATATAGGCAGTTCACGCATAAATCTAAAGACCAGACAGCTCAGAACCACAATGGGTCAGAGGAGAGTGTTGGGGAGGGGGGATGGAGGAAGGAAAGGAAGATGCAGAATACACAACACCCTCTTCCTGACACCTCATGCCACTGAAACATGAGATGAACCTCCCCATGCTGAAGGCTGCTCACATGCTTGAGTTCAGATACTCCCCGACTTACTGGAACTTCAAACGCCTCCTGGGTGTCATCCAGCATTTGGATTTTGATGGACATGAGTTTTCCGGAAGGTGTTGGAGGCGGCTTCTGTCCATGTTCCAAGGTGCTGATCCCTGAATTTTCTGGGGCCCCCAGTCGCGATCCTGGAGTTGGCTTCTGCTCTATTTCCCCCATGATGAAAGGTCATATAATATCTGCAGGAAGCAGCGAGAAAGAGAAATACATCAATCAGAGCGGAGACTCACACTCATTTATGCCACTTGGTAAGTAGCACGTGTCGTCGTCCGTTCTTCATCCTGGGAATTTCCCCAAACCACGCCAGGGTCTCCCCTCTCCGCATAGCAACCCCCCAGGGAGAGGCTTCAGTCCACTGCCTAACCATGTCACCTTATCCACTCAAGGCATGCAAAGAGAGGTGCATGGTTTACTCTTCTGCATGTTTTTACATATTTCATCCTTTCCTCTTCTTACGGTAAGCTCTTCATTATTTGTGTCATAAATTCAATTGTGTTCAATATAGGCACTACTACTTCTTATACATTCTGAGTCTGGCGGGAAGATAATGAATATAACCTAAGCCATATCATCAGAATCCATTAAGTACCTTTTACAGACACACTAACATACTAAATAATGTGAGTATTAAAAGATAAATAGCCCTGACTGGTTTGGCTCAGTGGATAGAGTATCGGCATGCAGACTGAAAGATCCCAGGTTCGATTCCGGTCAAGAGCATGTACCTTGGTTGCAGGCACATCTCCAATAGGGCATGTGTAGGGGCAGCTAACTGATGTTTCTCTCTCATCGATGTTTCTAATTCTCTATCCCTCTCCCTTTCTCTCTGTAAAAAAATCAATAAAATATTTTTTAAAAGATAAATAGATAAAACATACATTGTGGCTCCCAAATTTATAATCTGGTTGAGAAAACGAAACATACACTCACACAAACACGGGTGAAATAATGTAGGGTCTTTTCTCTTGATTTCTGCTTGTTTCTATAACAATTACCTCCTAATTCATTTCTTTCCTACCTCCCATGTTGCACCCCCTTTTCTAAGCACAGACTAGAGTATCAAGAGCCGTTTTCCTAAAAACAAAACACAAACTGTCCACTCTTCTCTGGTGCCACAACCCCACTCCTCCTTTCTTGCCCGTCTCGCTCCAGGCCATCGTACGTGTAGCTCTCTCTGGCTGAATGCTTGGCACTCATTCTCCACCTGGAAGCTTCTACCATCGCTTTAACCTTCAGTTCAAACGCCTCATCCCTGACACCTGGGCCGATCTCAGGTGGTGCTGCCGCTCTTGCTCACAACCAGCCAAGCTTCTTCCGCTGGGCAGTCAATTCCACCATCATGTCCCTGTTTACTTCCCCCATGACATCATCACCCTAAAGCAGAAACCAAACCTTGAAGATTCTTGGGGCCTCACTGCCTGGCACAGAGCAGAGCTCAATAATGGCTGCCTGATGTCTGGACCAGTCAGCCAGCACTGTGGTCAGCAAACTGCGGCTCGTGAGCCACATGTGGCTCTTTGGCCCCTTGAGTGTGGCTCTTCCACAAAATACCACGGCCTGGGCTCGTCTGTTTTGAAGAAGTGGCGTTAGAAGAAGTTTAAGTTTTAAAAATTTGGCTCTCAAAAGAAATTTCAACCGCTGTACTATTGATATCTGGCTCTGTTGACTAATGAGTTTGCCAACCACTGAGCCAGCACATTTATACCACGGCCAATATCCTAAGTGTGACCGAGCACAAAGAAATGAGACTTCAATGTGAGATGAAGTGGTGTTGATTTTTAAAGGGATGTGAGGGCTTCCATCAAAGAGAAGGTAGGGATTCAGTTCAACTTAGTCTCAGACGTTGGGTAATACTTGAAAAGAAACAGAAATCCTAGAGCACAAGGAGAAGGCATGCCAGGAATGCCAACGGCTCCACCAGGCCAGGGGACAGATTTACGACGACATATGGGAAGAAGAGCGAGAATTAATGCTGAGGAGTTAAAGACGCATTTGGAAAATAGGTTGGAATCAGACTATAACGAACCTCAAATGCCTCGTTGAGAAATATGGTCTTTACGCCGCGGGTGGAAGGGAGCCAGCCACTGGGGTAGAAATAATAACACAACAGTAGAACTTCTGAAAAATGAATCTGAAAGTAATATAGACTAAGAAGTGCAAACAGAGAGATGGATGGCAGGGGCCGGGGGGTGTCCAGTTTCAAAGCTCCTGCAACAATTTGCGCTTCACGGGATAACTTGGACAAGCGGCAATGGGAATGAAAAGGTGATTGTGTAAAACCCACTTCTGTGGAAAAATGAACCTGTAATCGGTTAGCTGCTGAGGGCAGATAAAAGTGTAAGAATGATCAGAAAGTTTGACATCAGGGCAGAGGGGAGGAAGCAGGCGAGGGGGGATGAGTTTGATCAGGGATGCTGTTTAGGGTTATAACAGGACATACAGTGGGCGGGGGGGAAGGTGGAGCTGTGAACTGTGGGTCCAGGGTCTGTCTTGTACCAGTGAAAGTGAAGGCAAGTGCAGGAGACAGAAACAAAAAAGCATAAGTAACAAACATGCCCAGCCAAGAGGTCTGTTATTTGCTGAATTGTGTTCCCCCGCCCCTAAATGTATGTTGAAGCCCTAACCCCCAGTATATCAGAATGTGACTATACTGGGAAAAAGGTTCTTAAAAAACTTTAGTTAAAACAAGGCCATTAAGATGGGCTGTAATCCAATCTGACTGTGGTCCTTTTAAGAAAAGGAAATTTGCACAAAGAGACACTGGGAATACGGGAACACAGAGGCGAGACCATGTGAGGACACGGCCAGAAGGCGGACACGTGCAAGCCAAGGAAAGAGGCCTCACGAGGAACCGATCCCGCTGACACCTTGACCTGAGACTTCCAGCCTCCAGAATGGCGAGAAAATAAATTCCTGTTAAGACACCCAAGTCTGTGGTACTTTGAGACAGCAGCTCTAGCAAACGTGTACAGGGGTCTGTGGAGAAGACGGAAAAGAAGCAAAGACCCAGTGACCCCCTGTGACAAAGAAAGCCATGGAAGGGGCACCAAGAAGTCACGTGTGGTGGCAGGTACAGAGCAAAGTGCTGTGCACATCTGAAAATGAGTCTCCCTGCAGCAAGTTTCTCCAAGAAAAACCATTCGGTTTGTAGTGTTAGCTGTAGATTCTTCTTGCCCAACTCACTCCTCTTGAAGAGTCAAGTTTCCCCACCAAATTCCACATGGAAACACCTGCCTCCCTCTCAGCAACATCTCTAACGCTCTCACCAAGACACGGAGGGCTGGCCCCAAGGTCAGCAGATCAGAAACAATGGAGTCACCTCAGACCACGTAGGTCCTTAACTCCAACCACCCTGAACTAAAAAGACATATCATTTCATCTGGCAGGAAACGGATTGCCACCTAGAAGATAGTCTTTTTTATTTTTTTTAATATATTTTATTGATTTTTTACATAGAGGAAGAGAGAGGGACAGAAATAGAAACATCCATGAGAGAGAATCATCAATCAGCTGCCTCTTGCACACCCCCTACTGGGGATGCGCCCGCAACCAAGGTACATGCCCTTGACCCAAATCGATCCTGGGACCTTTCAGTCCGCAGGCCGACGCTCTATCCACTGAGCCAAACCGGTTTTGGCAAGAAGAAGACAGTCTTTACTTCTTACTTCTTCCACACACACTTTCCTTACCAACTTTCCACCACAGCCTGGAAGCAGTCATCATTTGTTCTTATGCAAGCCGTTAAGACTGGAGTTCTACAAGGCAATGCTAGTTAAGGTCTGGCCTTTCTGAGAATAGCTCCTGCTTTTTTTAATGCCTATCTATGATTTCACAGATCTGCTATGTAAGTATCTTTCTAATTTCTGCCCCAAAAAAGATTGATTTTTTTTTTTTAAGAACCTACTTCTAATCTGTTTGGCTATGTGATATGTGCTCTGCTTAATTCATCTATCAGTCTTGAGAGATGTGACTAGACTTTGCTTATTTATAACTAGAGGCCCGGTGCACAAAATTTGTACACGGGGATGGGCGGGGTGTCCCTCAGCCCAACCTGCACCCTTTCCAATCTAAGACCCCTCAACGAATGTCCGACTGCCGGTTCAAGGGATTGGGCTTAAACGGGCAGTCAGACATCCCTCTCACAATCCAGGACTGCTGGCTCCCAACTACTCACCTGCCTGCCTTCCTGATTGCCCCTAACCGCTTCTGCCTCCCAGCCTGATCACCCCCTAACCACTCCCCTACCAGCCTGACTGCTCCCTGGCCAGCCTCATTGCCCCTAACTGCTTTCCCCTGCTGGTCTGGTCCCCCACAACTGCCCTCCCCTCCAGGCCTTGGCTCCCCCCCCCCCCCCAAATGACCTACCCTGCAGGCTTGATCACCTCCCAACTGCCCTCCCTGCTGGCCATCTTTGGCAGCCATCTTGTATCCACATGGGGGCAGCCATCTTGTATGTTGCAGTGACAGTCAATTTGCATATTACTCTTTTATTAGATAGAAGAATTAGATAGGATGCCTAGCATAGTGTCCTACAACAAAATGAAAAAATAAAGAAGTTCATCTGTATTTGCTCAATAAATCAAATCTGGGTGGTATACATTTAATTAAATGTGAGATCATTTGTGTTTAAAATAATCTCCAAAAAACAGGAGAAATTACTTCCCTGTATGTTTCCTGTTGGTTGTCTTGTGGTTAAAAATAAATCACCTCCAAAGAAAACCATGACATCAGTGCAGTTGCCTCCCTCCTTCCCACCCATTCTTTGCACTTCTCCTTACTTTGGTGTTGACCACTCCCTACCTTTCTAAGCATCCTGCCCTATACACCATCAGAATGAGCAGGCCCTGATGTAGCCACTTTACCTCCCACAGCTCTGGGTCTGAGAGATGTGGGTCTGACTGTGGCTCTAACTCCCATCCAGAGAGCTGATGGAAGGGCCTCTTCTCCCATCTCTAAGGTGCCAGGGCCCTTCCCTACAAATGCTTTTCTTCTGTTCTACTCAAGCAAAGAGCAAGGCCCTTCATCCCCTAAACTAGTGGTCAGCAAACCGCGGCTCGCGAACCACATGTGGCTCTTTGGCCCCTTGAGTGTGGCTCCACAAAAAAACACAGCCAGCCTGGGCAAGTCTATTTTGAAGAAGAGGTGTCAGAAAAAGTTTAAGTTAAAAACTTTGGCTCTC